TCTAGGTGTCTTAGATGGGGTTCCATAAAGGCAGCCCTGAGACACTGGTTCCTGCACTAGAGGTTTATCACAGAGAGATGGGAAGCCAGGTAACAGTGTGATCTCAGGCACAGCTGTGCAGAGAATAGCTTCAGCCAGACCCTGCGGGGAGACCTCTGGATTGTAAGCCTTGCCTCAGAATTGCCCCGATCTATGCAATTTTGCTGGCTTTTCAAACTGTCGCTTAGAACCATTGGTTAAAGGTCCTTGTGCGAGGGGAGTTTAAACACCCAGGAACTTCCGGCTAGCAATGCCACTCCAGTAACCAGAGGGCAACCATCAACAAAGGAGCTGAAGGTGCTGCACAGAAGGGTAAGGTACACAGAATTGATGAAAATGGCTCCTAGGGGATAGTGGGAAGCACTAGTATTGTCCTTTACTCTAGATGAGGGCCAAGTATTTCAGTATATGCAAAGCTCCTACAGTGGAATAAATCTTTGCCAGGATGAGGGCCTGAAAGAAATGCAGAATGGTTAGAGCCAGCCAAGACTGTAGATTGGCATGGGATGGGCTGGAGAGGCAGGTGAAGGCTGGTCATAAGTTGGGTTAAGGCCCTGACTTCCATCCAAGAGCAATGGGAGGACACTGAATGCTTCTGAGCAGGGGAGCAGCATATTTGCATTTGCATTTAAAGGCTTCCTCCAGCTAGAGGATGGAGAATGGATTGAAGAGATACCTGTGTGCAGGCAGGTAGACCCAGTTAGAAGGTTATCTAGAAAAGAAATGATGATGGAGTGGAATTGGGTAGTGGTAAAGAGAAGCAAGCATATTGGAAAAATTTTAGGAGGTAAAACCACTAGGAATTGCTGATGGATTGGATGGAGGAGGGGAGCCCTGGGAAATATCAAGATTTGTGGCTTACCTGGCCAGATGGATGGCTGTTTCATTCATGTGAAATTGTGAACACTGGAATGCTAGGTCTCAAGGCTCAAAACTAAGAAATATACACACACTATTCACAGGAGGAGGCCCGTCACCTACTGACTGTCTGATTCCCACAAGAAATTACCTGCTTCCTAGGTAATATTTTTTGGAAACAAGCAGAGAAATTACAACCATAGATCAATTTCCAAATAGGGATTTCACAGACCTAGACAAACATTAGCCAACTTGCTCCAGGGAACGTACCATCCTATGAATGGGATGGGACTGACTGGGAAGAGAGACCTAGTATAGAGGAAAGAATTAAAACGTTAGACAGAATATAATTACTGTTCATGTATGTGATTCAACTATAAGCCTAAATGACTCAAAGAAATTTTTAATTGAATGCAATAATGAAGATTCTAGCCCACAGTTGGGTACCAAAGTTGGTTCTAATTCTTCTGCATTCTAAATAATACTGGAATGGATATCAAAGGGATTGGTATTACTGGGTCAAAGGGAATATAATTCCAAAGCCCTTGGAATTTGCTTGCCCTTTAGTAGTGCTTCAATGCACTTTTCCTGCACCCGACCCTACACCCTTAGTTTTGCTAAAGAGAAGTATGTTATAGTCTCAGGGTAGGGGGTAGCATGTTATGGTTTTAGCTTATTTGTATTTGATTTCTTGTATGATTAAAGTTTTTGGTGTCATCTTCTTACCCATTTTTTAAAAGGTTTTTATTTACTTCACCCAAATATATGCCATTGTATTAGTAAATTTTCTTATCAATTTCTATGAATTTTTTACATATGACAATGTAAACTTTGTGTATTTAAACTTTGTATATTTAATGTAAATACTTTCCCAAGTATGTTATTTTATGTCCAGAGCCTTTAATTCTAGTCTACAGAAATAAGATTTTCCTTCCACATTTCTTCACTGCTTTTTTTTTTTTTCCTTAGTTTAGAAAGTGTTCCCTTATTTACAGATAACAGTGTATTCTGGAATTTTTTTTTAATCCAACAAAGCATGGGGGTTGGTAATAAGAATGTGTATAGATAAACCAAAATCAGTCATGTGGTTTTCATGTTGAAGCTGAGTGTCAGGGTTCGTTATACCATTTTATTTTTTTTACTCTATAAAAATCTGTATTGATTTTTAAAAGTTATTTCTAATTCAAAGACCAGAAACATAGTTCTGCATCACTGCTAAAAGTTTTCTCACTGGGCTTCGTATTCCAGTCTTCTTTCCTACGATCTATTCCCAACATGACAACCAGGGTGATCTTTTAAAATGGTGGCATTTTAGCTCCCTATTTGACCCAAAGACCTTCAGTGGCCTGCAAGGCCCTAGGTGATCCATATATCCCTGTCACTCTTTACTGCTCTGATTTCACTACTGCTCTTCCCCTTTGCTGACTCTCCTTCAGTTATACTGCCCTCCTTGCCATTATTTGAACAAGTCAAGCACACTCCCACCTCAGAGCCTTTGCACCTGCTTTTCTTCTGTTGCTCCAGATTCCTGCATGTGAACTCCATTTCCTCCAGGTCTTCCTCAAATATTCCCTGATCAGTGACACTCTCCCTGAGCACTCCATGGAAAATAGCATCTCCCCCATCTCTCTATCCTCTTACCCTTCTTTTACCTCAGATCACCATCCATAGTATGTAGTTACTTCTTTATTTATAATCTATCTTTCAGAATCTGAACTCCTTATGGGTCCTTCTCAGTTTTCATTTTAAGTATATTTCCAGTACCCAGAACAGTGCTGAAAAAAGAAGTAATCATTAAATAAATATAGGTTGAATAAATTAATGCTATTCAGGCAAAGATTCAGATGATATTCTTAATAATACAGAGAAATGTTCATGCTGTAATGCTAAGTGGAAAAAAAGCAGAACACAAAATTTTCACCTTTGAAAAAAATTATGAGTTAAAAATATCAGGGAGAAAATTCAGGTCCCTCTGAATGGGAGCATTTGTGTGATTATTTTATATATTTGCAAGTTTTTGTCAAAGACTTTTATAATAAGTATGTGAACTTTAAGAAAATATAGTAGCAAATTATAAATCTAAGTTTTCACTTCTGGGGCAATATCTTATATGACCAGTAATAATATCTGTACTCTATGAAAACACTCAAAATATATGTCACTAGGTTCTCCTGGACAACATAAAGATAAGGATGCTAATAATTTTATACTAAGGTGGTTAGCGAATGTCATTGGCAAGAAAAAATATACACTGAGTACTTGATATGCTCCAGGTGCTGAGGTAGATAATTTGGGAGTTTAAATGTAAGCAGGGATAATGCCTATCTTTATTATAAAATTTAAAATATATAAATATAAATATATATAAATATATAAAATATAAAAAGTTTATTATAAAATCCCTGGCACACAGCACATCAAAGAGTACAAAGTATGTGCTAAATAAGTAATTATTGAATACATTAGGAAATAGGACTTGGGGCTACCACCTTCAAGCAATTTAGACTAAGTGAGAATTAACACCCAGAGCCCTAGACTTTGCTTATTATTTTACAAGATTTATCACACTGACAATTATTTATGTATACATGTCTTTCCTCCTAAACTGTAAAGTTTTGGTGGCAGAGGCCATATCTGTTTTGTCAACAACTGTATTCTCAGTGCCTAGCCCAGAGCCTGCTACATAATTGGGGTCCTGATAAATATTTGTGGCACGATTGATAGATGGATATGCCCAAAATTCCCAGCTAAGTTGGATGTATTAAAAGGCATGAGAGATACAAAGATGTTTAGAGAATTTAGGGAAGCAAAATTTACATCTTGTTTAAAGGAATCTGCAAAATACAAGGAAAAGAACTGGCATTGAGCTTGACCTTAAAGAATAAATCAACAATTTTAAGGTGTTATAAGAAAGTAGGCATGTGTCATTTCAAGCAAAAGGAATAGAATGATCAGTAGTATCAGATGTGCTTCTGTGAGCTTTTACTATTTGGCACCTTTTGAAAAGTTAATCCTATTTAAAGAAAAGTTTAATTGTGGGGACCGACAGCTGGTACCTTAAGTGCCAGATGCGGTTTTGTTTTATAGTTAATGGTGGCAACACTGCTTAATTGTATATTTACAAGCAAACACATGTCGTTTCATGAAAACTACTTGATAATTACACAGCGACTACTGGAACCCCTGATAATTACACAGTTACACGTGTTACTGCTACCAAGTTACCTCCTGATAGCTGAGTAATTAACTTGTCAACTCAGCAAATGGGGCTGGAGGGGAGGCATCTAAAACGCCTATTCCTTTTCTTACAGATGTCTGTGGGTTCCTTCAGCACTTGTTGAATTTGGTACCGTCCTCCTCTTGGTCACTTGGCACTTAACGTAGAGGCTGAAACACTTTCTGCCACCCTAAAATACCTAAACCTTTTCACACTTCCAGTGATTTTAACACATTTTGCCTTGCTGCTAATTTTGGGCGTATCCACCCATCAGTCCATCCATCCATTCACCCATCAGTCCATCCACCCATCCATCCATCAGTCCATCCATCCATTCATCCATGCATGCATCCATCCAACATCGCAGAAATGTTGACTGAACCTGTCCTATGTGCCAGGGCCTGTCTGGAAGTCACTCTTCCCACTTCAGAAAGCAGGGTGTTATAGCCCAAAGAGCATGAATCAGTTTTCAAATTCAGGAACTTCTACTCTTCAGGTCTCTGATTTTGTGCAATTTTCCTAATCTATAAAATGGGCCTAATAATGCTCAACAGGGTGGTTATTAGCATGACAGATAATGAAAAGGACTAGTATAAAATAAGCACTCAATAAATTGTAACACCCAACCACTGCCCACCTCCCACTACCAGGCCCCAGTTAATCTTAACTGTTTCATGTCTTCATCAAAATAGATCCCAAAGAGCCTCTACTTGGGATTGTGTATATGGTCAAAATTAAAATAACTACATTAATTTTTTTAATTCTCAAAAGTCAGCTGTATTAACTAAATCAAAAGGCCTCTTATCAGAATATATTGAAATCAATGATTTTGCTAAATGGTGTCCCAAATACCTGAAATGGTAGAGACAAATAAGCAATACAAGACTTTTTTCCTATTTTAATAAAACCATTGCCCAAGTCAAAAACATAAGTCACAATCACACATATCCACTTAGAAGGTAGAATTCAGGAGTCCTTAGGGGGGCCTGGTCATTTGAGACTTCTCACAGCCCTCACTTCTGCTCCCTGCTTCAGCATTCCCCGTCACAAAGCTTCAGTTCGTAAGGAAGTGGCTCTCTGTCTGGAGAACAGGGCACCAGACACTGTGCAGAGACACAAATAAAATAGAAGGTGAAAATAACACCTACCTCTGGGATTAAATATTATTGAGGCTGAGACAGATTAATGACTTGCCCATGTTAATGAAAGCAGGAGGTAGCAGAACTATAGTTCAAACTCATCATCCCAACTCCTAACCCATGCTCTTTAGAGAACATCACCCTGCCTCAAGCCAATCTGTACAGGGCCTTGAAAAACTTTCATCCAATGCTTTATTATTTGCTTACATTTATTAAGTGTCTACTACATGATGATAAAATGTCATGCCCTAGAGGAATAAAATTATGTTTAACTAGCATCTAATCAATGCCTGCTATGTGGCAGTCACAAATTTTCCATACACATTAGCTCATCGGATCATCTCAACAACTATGTAGGAAAGATACTGTCATTATCCTCACTAGATGCAGGAAGAAACTGAGGCATAGAAAGCTTATATAACCTGCCTGAGGTCACACCCCATAAGTGGTACAAGTGAGATTTGAACCAAAGCTGACTGTCTGTGAAGGCCACACTGTTAGCCACCAGGCCAGCCCTGCTCTGTTTTGCTGAGATAGCTGCAAGGCCCAGCACAGGACTGGAACAAGGGCAAATGTGCTTCAGACCTTGGACATGAAAAGCTCACAGTCTAACAGGGAAGAAAGACACAGAAACAAATACCATTCAACGTGCTGCGTGTTACACTGTGTGGTTGTGATGGAGCCAGGATCCCAAATGCCTGCTCAGTCACTTCAAGCTCCTGAGAAAATATAACATAAAAGATGCCAACCATATGCACCCTGGTTATTCCTTGCCGTGGTTTTCATCTGAATCCCTGCCTACTCTAGGGAACTGGAATAGATCCCATGTGGAATAAGCAAATTTCAGGGGAGAACTCTAAGACAGAGCTCAGATCAAGCCCAAGTAATTAGAATTAGTTTCCCCATTTTCAGTCTCTCATGGTACCTGGTCCCTCCTAGCCCTCTAAGTCTTGGAAACTCCCTAACAAAAGGTCTACCCAGCCTAAATTTTACATTCCAGACACAGAGGAGGAGAGAGTGTCATAAGGTAAGGAGTCACCTTGACCCCTTTGCTCCTCCAACGAAAGGTCCTTCTCACATGACCAGAATGCTCCTTCTGGCTAAAGAAAAGGAGCGGACTCTGTGTCAACATGACAGAGGGCTGGCCAAGTGCAGTGGAATCTCAGAGGATCTGTATGCACACCTGTTTGAGGAGAAAGAGAGGTTTCACAGAGGAGAGGATGTTTCAGGGACGACTAGGAAATGCCAAACACATGGGGAAGAAGAGAATTCCTGAAAGCAGAAATGTATGGAGGCACAGGATGGGAATGGTCAAGAAATCCAAAGTGTACCTGGGCACCTGAACAGGGAGAAGGAGGCTCTAGGAGTCACTGGGATAGATGATAAAGAATTTAGCCTGTTCAGTGGAGTAGTTCTAATTGTTCATGGGAGATCTTGAAGCATGGAAATGGCATGATTTATTTTAATCAGACCAGGGCCAAGAAGACAAGTCAAGAGCCTATTTCAGTTTTTCAGAGAGTGTGGGTTTGTGAATAAGCCGGAGATAAACTCGGGGGCTATTTAACTACTAACATTCAGGGCTTAGTGTCAGATATGGGGAGAGAGGAGGCAGGGATTGAAGAGTGTGCCTCAAAGCCTTCAACAGAAGGGAAAGTGACACATAGAAGTAAACACAACCACTAAAACCCCATAAACCTATTGTTAAAGAATTATGATTGCAAACTTGCCAAATAAATGGGCAAAGCTTAAGCTTCATTCTCCTGTTTTCCTGATGGGTAGATGGTGCTAGTCATGGGTGGTAAGGCAGGAAAAGAGAGAGATTTAACCTGACTTCCAAGTGCAGCTCTTCTGTCCAAGTCCTAATGACATCCCTACTGCAGGCTATAGTGTCCAGTGTGGGTTTGTAACCTACCTGTCTGTGCAGAATTTCCCACTAGTGGCGGCTTTTCACTTACATATATCTGCTCTGAGCACCAGAATGTTAACTTTCAGGTTTAATCTACCCAGCCAAGATATTCATCAACAAAAATGCTGAAATCTAATCTGTAACTCAATGAATGAAATAAAAGTATTATTGATAATGACTGAACCTGTTCTCTGAAATTGCAATAGTTTAAATAATAGCTGATGTTTGCTTGGAACTTTCTTTGTTCCCTGCCCTGTACTAACGGATTTATACACAGATTGCTAATGCAACCTGTGATGTAATATAAATTTCATTTAAGGTGCCTATTCTCCTCCCAGATTTGCTCCCTATAATTCTCCACAGCATTACTAAATACCATGGGAGCAAAAATAGGTTCATTGCTTATTTGGGCCAAAGCTTAATAGAACTTTTACAGTTGGAATGGGAGACAGTGAGGTATAGTGGGAAATGTTTGGGGCTTTGAAGTTAGAGAGAACTGGCTTCGGTTCAGCTCAGTTCAATTCAGTGCAACAGACAGACACTGAGTCCCTACTACAGGAGTCTTAATAAATGTGTATGACTTTAAGGTAAGCACTGAGCTTGGGAGTAGGTATACAAAGAAGAGTGAAGACACAGTACCTGCTCTTAAGAAGCTTACAAGTTACTGGGAAGAAGAGGCACATAAATAGATACTTTCAAAATAAAGTGGACAATATTAAGATCAAGGTAAAAAAAAAAATACTATAGGAGCACGAGGGAGAAACACTTAGCACAGCTGAGATGATTCCTGACCTAGGTCTTAAGACATAAGGAAGATATCCCAGCCAGGAATGGCGAGAATCCAATTTTAGGCATTGATTACATTATAAGTGAAGACACATAGGAAGGTCACATGTATGAAAAATTATTAAAAAAACATAAAGTGAAAAGCAGGGCATATTGACTGTGTGAGCCTGGGCAAATTCCCTTACCTTTCTGAGTCCCAGTTTCCTCATCATAAAAAGATTATCAGCAATGTCTCTGTCACTAGCTGGTTGCAAAGATTAAAGATGAAAACAAATTAAGTACCCAGAACACTGTTCATATCAGAAATTCAAAGAAAGATAAAACATTTCTTCTATGGGATGTTAATAGGTGTTTTCTGTAAAGTTGCATATATGGAGTTGACTAATTTCAAACTTTGAGCAGATTTCTTTAACTGGAACCTTTAATATGCTAATTCTCATTATGGACCTTTAAGGAAATGAGAGAATGTACTTTAAGCTTTTCCAAAGTTTTTTTTTTTTTTTTTTTCCTAACTAAGCATCCCAAAGACTCATGTTCCATAATAGCACTGGGAAGTACTGGCCAGTGAGAACACGGGATGCCCAGCACAGCTTTAATCCATCTTACCTTTAGGGAAACTGTGTTTCATTAGTTCATCTCTATATTTGAAAGCCAGAATATTTTTTGTCCTATGACAAACTGAAGTCTATGTCACAATGACCCACAGTGATTAAGGGTTCTATGTGTGTAAAGGCATTGAAGAGTTTCAGCTTTAGAACAGCTGATTTGTGAGAAGGGCTGGACTTCACTCCCTGGTCTCTTAAGTGTTTGAACTACCATCTGGAATGATAACCCCTTGCTTTATAAGCAAGGAGGCAGGCTGATATGGTGACTCTGAGCTCTATAGTAATGGGAAGAATCAATTAGATTCTCTGGGCCCGTTTCCAATTCTGAAAAACAAAATACTGTTATGCATCATCTATCAGCCCTTCTCTTAGATTCTGCAACAATATCACATCCTAGGTCAACCTAGAGAATACTCAGTCTCAAACCTCTAAACTTGGTGAGGCAGGAAGCCATGGCTTATGGAACAGAATTCCATACTTCCAGGTGGATTCCATACTCAGTGATACCTGGGCAGTAATGTAACAGTTCCCAGAAAGAACGGATGTGCCAAGTGGAAAGAGAATAGTATCTCCATCTAGCCTATGGCTTTTTGAAAGAAAATAAGGACTAACAGCCTGTGTTAAAAAGGAGTTGAAGGAGGACAGTGAGACAGAGAAGACTGGGAAGAAAGTTATTTGCTTAAGTGCAATGTGACCAGTTTAGGAGACTTCCAATTCTTCACCCAGAGTTCTTCCAAAGTTATATATCTATATTTGTAACTGTCCAGTAACCATCTCCACCTACTGAACAGACAGCTCCAACTTAATGTGTTCAGAATAGAAATTGTGTTTTTCCTCCTCTACGTAACTCTGAAGCAAGATGGTTTGAAGAGATCCCGCAGGTCTGGGGAGGCAACTTCCTGCATCAGATTGAGTGGTCCTCACAGCATTGGTGTAAGCGGACAGGAGAGTATTACTAGGGATTTCAGTTTCCTTTGTCCTCAGTTCTTTCCCTGGTACTATCTTATTTAATCCCTAATCCAAATACCATGGGAGCACAACTCCAAAGCCATGTACCTTTGACTAAGCTGTCTCATCTGAGGATGTCAGAGAGTTGGTACAGATGATGGTAGAGGCCAGGGATGCTGAGCTCTGGCCCTGGGGAGAGGCTCCTTGTTCTACATCGTGCTCTCTGTCACGAGTGAGCATGTCAAAAGTGCTGACTACCACTAGAAGGAACTGTCAGGCAGGGGAAAAAAGGATAGGATACAAATTCAGCAACTATCTCATGTGATATACTGTGATCACTGTGCTTCCTGTGCATGTTCACCTGAGAGCCCCTCTCTCACACACACGCAGCTCATCCCACCTCCCGTCCTGTCTCTCTCTCTTTTTCTCTCTCTCTCTCTCTCTCTCTCTCTCTCTCTCTCTCTCTCACACACACACACACACACACACACACACACACACACACACACCCTCTGCATGCTTTCTGAGGACACTGGAAAAAATATGCAAAATATATTTTGAGCTACCACACAGCTCTCCCCAGCTTACATTTTATCCACATTAGCTTTCATTTATTGAGCACCTATTGTGAGCTTCTGCTGTACATGTCCAACCCAATTTAATTCTCACAGCATTCCTCTGAAACAGGTATTATAAATTGCATTTTGGAGACAAGGAAA